GAGTTCGAATCCCCACATGGCTACAATGTGTGAAGCCCATTTCTGGTGTCCCCTGCCGTGATGTTGCTGAAATATTGCTAAAAGCGGCGTAAAACCAAACTCAGTCAGTCAGTGCTAGCAGCGGGTTCGTTATTCAGAAGTGCTGAATAATTATACACCCCATGCACATTTGGTACACCTGTGAATGGAACCCGCAATCTTTTATTACCTGGGTTTCAGGGTATATCACCACAGTACTATAGATATTCCATGTAGAGCGTTTGAATAACGAACCCGCTGCCAACACGTTATTCGTTATTCGAAAAACAAATAAGGAAACACGAACCCGCTGCTACCTTCCGGCTGCTGGGCTGTGGTCCCCATATATACAACAGGAATTGAGACTGCTTTTCTCAAACGCCTTACACTACTCAGTCACTTAGACAAGGTTCTCGAGAAGACGGAAGAACTGGCGGTTCGTTTTGCATATAGATAAATGTTTTACGTAACCAAGTTGCAAACCCTCCAGATGAACGTATAGCAGTGCTAGTGTTTTCCTAACACTTATTATTTCAAGCTCACTCAATTCAAGGTGCACTTGCACAAACTGAGTTGTCTGTACGTAATTAATATTTCACTGAAAACATCTGCAAAACTCAAATATCGTTCACCTGGGCCTTTTTTCAATAATATTGCTAATGTTAGGATCTGTTGGATCATACCCATCGTTCTCCGCTACATTATATCTCGATTGCTCACTGTAATGATGAACAGAGTCAACTTCAGTGTATGCGCTTATATGTATGCGCTTATATACATCGTGAAAACGTCAGTCTACAAACAGCGACGTCCCGTGACGCCATCCTGACTGTGCCAGCACTTCCCCCCACCCCATTCCAACAATCTGCTGTTGGCGGCTGTTTTCTCCTGATTGTGTAGGACGAAAGGTCGTGTTTACTGTTACAACTGTCTGGTATAACAATAACATACTGATGTCTAAAGTTAATTAATGAGTGTATGACCTCCAGTTGGTCAACTGAGGAATGGAACAAGGAACTAAGTGGTACCTGCTGTCTGATTAAGGGAGCCTGTTATTGGCACACTAATCTGTCTCAAAGTCCCTGAACCATATTATTTCCCCTACAGCCTAGCCCTCCCTTCAGTGCTAAAGCCCTAAAAGAAGCAAATCTAGATTGTATCCCTGGGGCTCCTTTTCAATTTACATGGATTTATTTGTTACAATCAAAATAATATGTATTCAGAGACTAAGCGTTAGTCTATTGGCACACTTTCACCTTGCTGTGAGCACGCGGGATGGTACTTCGTTACGATACAAGCCTTGAAGACAGGTATACTTTAATCTTAGCTGTGAGATAAGTCCTTTGATACACGAGACTTATTGCACCATTTCAAAGTTAATTCAATTGACAAAAAAGTATCCCAAGCTTTTCAGCTTCCTTAATCTAACTGAATATGTTTGTAAAGTCCTGCCGTTTCTTCATTATATTCTCTCGTTGCAGGAATGTGGACGATATTTTCAATGAAAACATTACTTAACAAACTCGAAGATGTCTTTTAAACGAACAGCGTCTACAGAATTATTTGTACGGTGTATTTTGCCAGCGCTTCACTCTTAATGGTAAACACGCTTATTTGTTGCACGTCTCACGCACGGCCAGAAATGAGCAGTTAAAACGCGACAGTGGCTGTTGAAAGGACGCGACCAGACTGTAAGGGTATAGTCAACAGGCGAATGCTGCGGGAAAAAATACCTTCTTGAAAAGGGGTATCCGGGTAAAGTTGAGAAATTAATGGCGGGTGGATAGGCAAGTGAGCTGACTGAGGAGAAAGGGGAGGAATTTATCACTAAAATGATGACAGGAGGAATCAGCCCATGTGAATGATGACATATTTACCCCGGCAGTCGGGACACTCGGTGAACTAAATATTGCCAATCTCTTGTACATTGCCAAATATCTAACATTAACAATGTCTACATTCAACCCACTGCTCCGTGTGTCACGATCATGAATTTCAGTGTCATTTTCCTCTCTCTTCTCAGTTCTATGGAATATTTTGGAGAAAGGTGAAAGGTCAATGGTATATCTACCTAAACATTATTTTATGCTCTAATAGGGAATATGTTCGGCTCAGTTTAGCTTATATCGTTTATGATAGTGATCTCGTGTAGAGCTACACGGGGCTGTCTATTGTGTGTTGAAGTCTGCACCTATTGCAGAGACCAATATTGACATATACGTATGGTCCAATATTGAATTACTGGCATGGTATAAAACCAACATTCATTCCCTAATCTCGATATGGCTGGCGTTGTTGGCAATATCATCGCGACAACTGTAATATACATGTATCTGAAGCATGTGACTGCAACAACGTCAGGAACGGCCGAGTTCAGGCAACGTTTTACAAGACAAATAAGGTAAAGAGGCTTTCAAAGGCAGAAGACAGGGAGTCGAGTAATCCCCTGCAGTGATAAGGCAAAATCTGGATGTCTTCTTGGTTACCACAGTAGTTCGCTCAAGGTTACAAAATGAATGTCAAAATTGTTCCTATGCCAGTTTATGAAAGCAGACTCCGTGAATCCGACAACCCGACACCATAAACGTATCACTGTAACATGGTAAATCACAGATCTTGCTTGTATAATGATATTCGAGAATATTCATAAAAGATAATAATGTTATTCCATCTTTTAGATTTGATACAATAGTATCAGAATTTATCGTGATAGTTTCCACCTCAATACAGGAGCTATTGGTCCATATAATTCTACTGCTGATCTAAGCTTAATATCAGAGTTGTGTAGGACTGTATATTAACTATATGTCTGTAAGGGCGAGGGATCCAGCCAGAGTGGTGCTCGTCCCCTTGTTGAGTTTGTATGCATGTCGCGGTGCCCGTTATCACCCCTTATATGATATTGGCGCTGGCGTGGAGTTGAAGCGTTCGGAGAGGAGTCTGGAGATAACTGTAAACAGGGTATATATGGGTGTAAACAGTCCGTTCTCAGCGACCCCTTGCGGTACATGGCAGATGATCCACACCTCCTGACAGAGAGGTCGCGCAACATATGTAACCCACTTCGCGCAATAGATACAGCTCATGTCAACATGTCATTCAGAAGTACAACCATGCTTGAAGAAACACATTTTATTCAAGCACGCTTGCGTGTGCGTACGTATGTGCGTGAGTATATGTGTGTGCGTGTGCTTGTGCTTGTGCTTGTGTGTGATTTCAGATACGTAGCTCTCGTGCTGCGTACGCCCATCTTTAACTTTAGACACGTAACCCTCGTAAATACGCCCACCTTTAACCTCAGACATGTATGGAAAGACAGTGTGTGACTTCAGGTACGTAGTGAATTATTTTCACGTCATCAGCAAGGATACTACGGCAGCTGATTTCAGTAGCGAATATCCTCTACTGGAGTGTAGCCACTTCTTCTCCACCCCCACCCTCCGCCACAGCTGCGACTCAATACCCCTCGCTAAGAATATCTTCTACTGGAGGGTAGCCACTCTTCTCCACCCCCACCCTCCGCCACAGCTGCGACTCAATACCCCTCGCTAAGAATATCTTCTACTGGAGTGTAGCCACTCCTTCTCCACCCCCACCCTCCGCCACAGCTGCGACCCCCCGCTAAGCCACAGCTGCGACTCAATACCCCTCAATACCCTCTAAGAATATCTTCTACTGCCACAGTGTAGCCACTCCTTCTCTCCACCCCACCCTCCGCCACAGCTGCGACTCAATACCCCTCGCTAAGAATATCTTCCTGGAGTGTAGCCACTCCTTCTCCACCCCACCCTCCGCCACAGATGCGACTCAATACCCCCTCTAAGAATATCTTCTACTGGAGTGTAGCCACTTCTTCTCCACCCCCACCCTCCGCCACAGCTGCGACTCAATACCCCTCGCTAAGAATATCTTCTACTGGAGTGTAGCCACTTCTTCTCCACCCCCACCCTCCGCCACAGCTGCGACTCAATACCCCTCGCTAAGAATATCTTCTACTGGAGGGTAGCCACTCCTTCTCCACCCCCACCCTCCGCCACAGCTGCGACTCAATACCCCTCGCTAAGAATATCTTCTACTGGAGTGTAGCCACTTCTTCTCCACCCCCACCCTCCGCCACAGCTGCGACTCAATACCCCTCGCTAAGAATATCTTCTACTGGAGGGTAGCCACTTCTTCTCCACCCCACCCTCCGCCACAGCTGCGACTCAATACCCCTCGCTAAGAATATCTTCTACTGGAGTGTAGCCACTTCTTCTCCATCCCCACCCTCCGCCACAGCTGCGACTCAATACCCCTCGCTAAGAATATCCTCTGAAGCTGCTCAGTCAACCTACTCAGCAGCAGCTCAACTCACATAGATACTTGAGACAGATCCCCCAATCCTCTAATTGTGATGTCACAGCCGTGTTTTGTCACCTGTTAAGAAGGTGTGTTACTTGGGATACAAGCAAACGCCATATGATTTACCTGCCCGGCCAAAGATGCTGTTTGTTATGGTGTACAGAAAGTAGTTTTCTCCAACCCATTTGTTTCAGTTTGAAGACACGGCGCTGTGTATCCGCATCGACCCACGGCGTAATGCAATCGAACAGTGTTAAGTCAAGTTTAAACTGAACACTAAATGTAAGAAACGGTTTTACGTCGCAGCAACCTGAAATATAATTGCTCCTCTGCTACATTGAAATATGACGTGTATTGCGTTGTGTCCACACACAGCTGAAGGTTAGGGTCGGCGGGACACCAGACCGGTACGTTATTGCAGGAGTCCACAGTAACGGCTGCCGGGCGATACACGAAATAGTCACACCTCTACATCCTTCATCTCCTGATGGTGTAACATTTAAGCACTTAAGAGGATATTTCTATTCATCGAAACATAGGCACAAGATAAATTTGGGCTGTACATATCCTCAGTGTGTGGGTAACTAGTAGTCTCACCCCGATTCCCCCAACCCCCACCCCGACACCCTCATTGTACTCACCGGGGGCTCGATCGTGCCGACTCTCTGTGTGATAGGGTCTGTATCCACCACCTCTACACGGCAGTCCACTCCGCGTCTTGCCCTCACGAACACCAGATCCTCTCGCTCAAGGAACACCGACCGCCCCACGTTGACGGTCAAATCTCGCTTTCTCACGAGAATCTGGCCCTGCACCACCCAAGACAAGGCTAGTGTCATCATTATGCGTAGAGTATCCATTGTCATTGTATAATCCTGGCTACGACACGTCCTGGGGGCTACTTGTATCCAAGAACATTGTATCGTGTGTCTGAAACAATAGGAATGTCATGTTAGCATCTCGTCCAAGGTGTGTATATACAGGGACACATCGAAACCAAGAAACCCTTCACCAGAGGAACCTCACACTAAGACCTCACACTGGAACATCACAATGGGACCTCACACTGGATCCTCACACTGGGACCTCACGCTGAAACCACACACTGGTACCTCACACTGAGACCTCACGCTGAAACCTCACACTGGGACCTTCCACTAAAACCCCACAATGGAACCTCACACTGAGACCTCACAGTGGAACCTCACACTGAGACCTCACAATGGAACCTCACACTGCGACCTTACACTGAACCCACACACTGGAACCTCACACTGGGACCTCACGCTGAAACCCCACACAGGAACCTCACACTGGGACCTTACACTGAAACCACAAACAGGAACCTCACACTGAAACCTCACACTGGGACCTCACGCTGAAACCACACACAGGAACCTCACACTGTAGCCCCACAACGGAACCTCACACTGAGACCTCACACTGGGACCTCACGCTGAAACCACACGCTGGAACCTCACACTGGGACCTTACACTGAAACCCCAAAATGGAACCTCACACTGAGACCTCACAATGGAAACCCACAATGGAACCTCACACTGAGACCTCACAATGGGACTTCACACTGAGACCTCACAATGGAATCTCACACTGGGACCTAACGCTTAAACCCCACACAGGAACCTCACACTGGAACCTCACACTGGGACCTCACACTGAAACCTCACAACGGAACCTCACACTGGGACCTCACACTGAAATCTCACACTGAAACCTCACGCTGGAATCTCACACTGGGACCTCACACTGGAACCTCACGCTGAAACCTCACACTGGAACCTCACACTGGAATCTCACACTGGAATCTCACGCTGAAACCTCACACTGAAACTTCACACTGGAATCTCACACTGGGACCTCACACTGGAACCTCACACTGAAACCTCACACTGGAACCTCACACTGGGACCTTAGACTGGAATCTCACACTGGAACCTCACACTGGAACCACCTCACACTGAAACTTCACGCTGGAATCTCACACTGGAACCTCACACTGAAACCTCACGCTGGAATCTCACACTGGGACCTCACACTGAAACCTCACACTGGAACCTCACACTGGGACCTTAGACTGGGACCTCACGCTGAAACCTCACACTGGGACCTCACGCTTAAACCCCACACAGGAACCTCACACTGAGACGTTACACTGGGACCTCACGCTTAAACCTCACACTGGAACCTCACACTGGGACCTCCCGCTGAAACCCCACACTGGAACCTTAGTGTCCGAAACTAATTCATGTGGCTGTGAATTAATGATGTATGGCTATGGTGAGACTTGCTGTTGATTAATGATGTATAGCAATGGTGAAACTTACTGTGTATTAATAATGTATAGCAATGGTGAGACTTGTAGTGGATTAATGATGTATAGCAATGTAAAGCAATGGTGAGACTTGCTGTAGATTAATGATGCATTGCAATGTATAGCAATGGTGAGACTTGCTGTGGATTAATGATGTATAGCAATGGTGAGACTTGCTGTGGATTAATGATGTATAACAATGTATAGCAATGGTGAGACTTGCTGTGGATTAATGATGTATAGCAATGGTGAGATTTGCTGTGTATTAATGATGTATAGCAATGGTGAGACTTGCTGTGGATTAATGATGCATAGCAATGGTGAGACTTGCTGTGGATTAATGATGTATAGCAATGTATAGCAATGGTGAGACTTGCTGTGGATTAATGATGTATAGCAATGGTGAGACTTGCTGTGGACTAATGATGTGTGGCAATGGTGATATTTGCTGTGGATTAATGATGTATAGCAATGGTGAGACTTGCTGTGGATTAATGATGTGTGGCAATGGTGAGACTTGCTGTGGATTAATGATGTATGGCAATGGTGAGACTTGCTGTGGATTAATGATGTGTGGCAATGGTGAGATTTGCCGTGGATTAATGATGTATAGCAATGGTGAGACTTGCATCCACATCACAAGGACATAGATAGTTTAATTAAGTAGCTAGTTACAGGCATCCAGATCAAAAGGACATAGAAAGTTTAATTAAGTGGCTAGTTACAGGCATCCACATCACAAGGACATAGGAATTAAGTAGCAGTTACAGATCCACATCACAAGATAGTTTAATTAAGTAGCTAGTTACAGGCATCCACATCACAAGGACATATACAGTTTAATTAAGTAGGTAGTTACAGGCATCCACATCACAAGGACATATGTAGCTAAATTAAGTAGCTAGTTACAGGCATCCACATCACAAGGACATAGATAGTTTAATTAAGTAGCTAGTTACAGGCATCCACATCACAAGGACATAGATAGTTTAATTAAGTAGCTAGTTACAGGCATCCACATCACACAAGGACATAGATAGTTTAATTAAGTAGCTAGTTACAGGCATCCACATCACAAGGACATAGATAGATAGTTTAATTAAGTAGCTAGTTACAGGCATCCACATCACAAGGACATAGATAGTTTAATTAAGTAGCTAGTTACAGGCATCCACATCACAAGGACATAGATAGTTTAATTAAGTAGCTAGTTACAGGCATCCACATCACAAGGACATAGATAGTTTAATTAACAGGCATAGGTAGTTACAGGCATCCACATCACAAGGACATAGATAGTTTAATTAAGTAGCTAGTTACAGGCATCCACATCACAAGGACATAGATAGTTTAATTAAGTAGCTAGTTACAGGCATCCATCACAAGGACATAGATAGTTTAATTAAGCAGCTAGTTACAGGCATCCACATCACAAGGACATAGATAGTTTAATTAAGTAGCTAGTTACAGGCATCCACATCACAAGGACATAGATAGTTTAATTAAGTAGCTAGTTACAGGCATCCACATCACAAGGACATAGATAGTTTAATTAAGTAGCTAGTTACAGGCATCCACATCACAAGGACATAGATAGTTTAATTAAGTAGCTAGTTACAGGCATCCACATCACAAGGACATAGATAGTTTAAATAAGTAGCTAGTTACAGGCATCCACATCACAAGGACATAGATAGTTTAAATAAGTGGCTAGTTACAGGCATCCACACCACAAGGACATAGACAGTTTAAGTATATACAGGCATATCTCGTATACATATCCCTATTTCTTTCAGTAGGGTCTACGGTATTTATACAGTATTGGTAAGTACCTGTTTCAGTAGGGTCTACGGTATTTATACAGTATTGGTAAGTACCCGTTTCAGTAGGGTATACGGTATTTATACAGTATTGGTAAGTACCTGTCTCAGTAGGGTATACGGTATTTACACAGTATTGGTAAGTACATGCTTCAGTAGGGTATACAGTATTTATACAGTATTGGTAAGTACCTGTTTCAGTAGGGTATACAGTGTTTATACAGTATTGGTAAGTACCTGTTTCAGTAGGGTATACAGTGTTTATACAGCATTGGTAAGTATCTGTTTCAGTAGGGTATACAGTATTTATACAGTATTGGTAAGTACCTGTTTCAGTAGGGTATACAGTATTTATACAGTATTGGTAAGTACCTGTTTCCAGTATTTATACAGTATTGATAAGTACCTGTTTCAGCAGGGTATGCAGTATTGATTGGTGGTATTACCTGTTTCAGTAGGGTATACAGTGTTTATACAGTATTGGTAAGTACCTGTTTCAGCAGGGTATACAGTGTTTATACAGTGTTGGTAAGCACCTGTTCCAGTAGGGTATACAGTGTTTTATACAGTATTGGTAAGTACCTGTTTCAGTAGGGTATACAGTATTTATACAGTATTGGTAAGTACCTGTTTCAGTGGGGTATACAGTGTTTATACAGTATTGGTAAGCATACCTGTTTCAGTAGGGTATACAGTGTTTATACAGTATTGGTAAGTACCTGCTTCAGTAGGGTATACAGTGTTTATACAGTATTGGTAAGTACCTGTTTCAGTAGGGTATACAGTGTTTATACAGTATTGGTAAGTACCTGTTTCAGTAGGGTATACAGTATTTATACAGTATTGGTAAGTACCTGCTTCAGTAGGGTATACAGTGTTTATACAGTATTGGTAAGTACCTGTTTCAGCAGGGTATACAGTGTTTATTCAGTATTGGTAAGTACCTGTTTCAGTAGGGTATGCAGTGTTTATACAGTATTGGTAAGTACCTGTTTCAGCAGGGTATACAGTGTTTATACAGTATTGGTAAGTACCTGCTTCAGTGGGGTATACAGTATTTATACAGTGGTAAGTACCTGTTTCAGTAGGGTATACAGTGTTTATACAGTATTGGTAAGTACCTGTTTCAGTGGGGTATACAGTGTTTATACAGCATTGGTAAGTACCTGTTTCAGTAGGGTATACAGTGTTTATACAGTATTGGTAAGTACCTGTTTCCAGTAGGGTATGTGTTTATACAGTATTGGTAAGTACCTGTTTCAGTAGGGTATACAGTGTTTATTCAGTATTGGTAAGTACCTGTTTCAGTAGGGTATGCAGTGTTTCTACAGTATTGGTAAGTACCTGTTTCAGTAGGGTATACAGTGTTTATTCAGTATTGGTAAGTACCTGTTTCAGCAGGGTATACAGTGTTTCTACAGTATTGGTAAGTACCTGTTTCAGTAGGGTATACAGTATTTATACAGTATTGGTAAGTACCTGTTTCAGTAGGGTATTCAGTGTTTATGCAGTATTGGTAAGACGGATGTCAGTGCATTGTCAGTAACTTCACTGTCAGTAACTACACTGTCAGTAACTACACTGTCAGTAACTACACTGTCAGTAACTACACAGTCAGTAACTACACTGCCAGTAACTACAGTGTCAGTAACTACACTGTCAGTAACTACACTGTCAGTAACTACACTGCCAGTAACTACAGTGTCAGTAACTACACTGTCAGTAACTACAGTGTCAGTAACTACACTGTCAGTAACTACACTGTCAGTAACTACAGTGTCAATAACTACACTGTCAGTAACTACACACTACAGTGTCAGTAACTACACTGTCGGTACCTACACTGCCAGTAACTACAGTGTCAGTAACTACACTGTCAGTAACTACAGTGTCAGTAACTACAGTGTCAGTAACTACACTGTCAGTAACTACACTGTCAGTAACTACACAGTCAGTAACTACACTGTCAGTAACTACACTGTCAGTAACTACACTGCCAGTAACTACAGTGTCAGTAACTACACTGTCAGTAACTAGACTGTCAGTAACTACACAGTCAGTTACTACACTGCCAGTAACTACACTGTCAGTAACTACACTGTGAGTAACTACACAGTCAGTAACTACA